GATAGATGTCATATAAAGGGTGATATGATTACAGCAACATTGATTTTGTTGTTGCTTGGTTTTGTCTAATACTTTATGGATGGTATTAAGGTGATGGCTATTGTATAAATTGCTTATTGGGCTTGAATAATATAAAATTAAATAGTGTATTCAACAATAGATTTTTGCAAGAAAAGCATAGCACTAATTGTATGTACACTTGGGATCCTAGATAGTTGTCATTGTTTGCAAGTATATGTACAATTTTACAAATCTACAATATTAGATGATTGTTTTGACATGCATTCCAAGATAGTATTGAATAGAAGAATAATGCAATAGTCTTATATAAATATTTGTAATTATTTGATCCACTCTTATGAATTAATTAAAAATGATTTAGTAATTTTATTAGCAATAATATGTCATTTATTATACCATGCCATAAGCTCTTGATGAATTGTTTCCAATTTTGAAATTAATAATATCTCTTGTACTTTCAAGTACTAAAAGTTCAAAGATTTTACAATATTTGAAGACATGTTCTCATATCAATTTCTATCAAACTATGACAATGTCCAATATAATGGTCTAGTACATATCAAATACCTTGCAGCTTCTTCAAATACAAACCATATTTTTGAGAATTTGATGTTAGAACATAAAAAAATCAATGCTCGTATTGCTATTCAAAGATATTGTATAATTATTAGATTCTTGAATTGTCATTCTAACTTTTTAATTAAATAATATATGTGAAATATATATTTGCATGTTAGAAATAGAAGATTGATAGCATCAATGAAGCCTTTTTTTTTATTAGATAAAAATATGGACTTTAAAAGTTTGTAGTTCTTTGGAGAGGATGCAAGAATTTTTGTCTTCAGCTTCTGCAAGAACCAAAGCCAATTGTCATCATTTTTAGCATTAATAATATTAAATCCAATAAAAAATAGTTATTCTTTAACATCAATTCTTGTAGCAACAAATAATACTCCATGGTATTTGCCTTTCAAATAGATGCCATCTATGCCAATGACAAATTAACAATGTTGCAAGCCATGTAAGATTATATTGTATACAACAAATAATTAAAGAAAGCAGTTTTCTTCATTGATTTTTATTTTTATATAACTTCTAAGATTTTTTGGTTGGATTTAATAACAATAAGCTTTCAGATTATTATAGCTATCTTGATAAGAGCTAATTAGTTCAAAAATAGTTTTTTTTTTCTTCTATACCATGTAGGATATTATGATGACTATATTATATCAAATGACTTTTCAAATATCTAGAGCTTTATATTATTATTGATCTTCTAATTTGTTTTTATGTTGTTTGCTACCTAATTGGTACTAACATGTTGATTATTCAAATATTTGATGTCAATGCATGTGTGTTCAAAGATAAATGTTCAAATGACAAATTCACTTATATATACAAATTAAAATTGTGATGCATGTAATCTCCATTTTTAAGTATCATTGTGATACTTTATTGTCTTTTATTATAAAATACAACTTTTTTAAACAAGATGCATAGTTTTTGCACAAGGCTAATTTTTGGTAGAGATATATGGTTGTTTTAATGCTTGTTAGATATTTTAAAGGCCAAGCAATGAGGTAAGAATCAAAAGTTTCTCATGATCAATAGAACAATAACATAGATGTATATATGTAGGCATAATATTAGATTGTATGAAAGCAATCTAAGATCCAATTTTGAAAATAAGGTGTAAGATATAAAAATACCAATTATTGATAAATTGGCCTTGAAGTTATTTATTTAATTATAGGCTCACTTATGTATCCAATGGTTGGTATAAAGATAGATCTTGCATATGCAATAAGTGTTTTGAGCCTATATACATCAAAATTTAGACCAATCTATTAGACAACCATCAAAAGAATCATGAAGTACTTAAATGGCTATTTATACTTCAAATTTTGCCTTGGAGATAATAACATTACTTTGCATGGTTATTATAATGTGAATTGGGTTAGAGATAAAAATGATAGGTCAACAAGAAATTATGTATTCTTTGTTAGAATAGGAGCTATTTTATAGAATTACAAGAGACAACCAACAATTGCAAGGTCCACAATAGAGGCAGAGTACATAGTAGTAAGCTAGAATGCAATGGAAGGAATATGGCTAAGATAACTTTCAAAAGATATTGGACTAATACAACTAGAAATAATTTCAATAAAGAGTGACAATCAAAGATGTCTTGCTTTTGCAAAGAATCCAAAGCATCATTCAAAAATCAAGCACATTGACATTCAACATCACTTCATAAGAGAGAAGATTGAAATAGGAGTAATTGACATGAAGTATTGTGCAATAGAAGATATGCTTGCTGATTTATTGACAAAGATATTAGTGAAGGATAGACATCATATATTGACAAAGGCATTAGAATTGAAAGCCTTTGACCAATAGCAAAGTGATAGTGTTAAAGTAAATAAATAAAAGTAAAAGTAGAGGATGTTATTTTGTAAAGGATATTACCTTAGATTATTTATGAATGGTCAAAAGATTGAATCTTGATATATAAAAAGATATCCTATGAATAAAGAATAAAACTAAGAATCAAGAATCAAGATCAAGAATAAATTAGAAAATATCTAGTAATAAGATAAGAGTATAAAAATATGTTATATGTTATCTTTGAAGTAAATGAATTAGCAAAAGATCCTAAAAGCATAACAAATATATTAAGGGCATATCTTTATAGTTAATAAGATATTAAAGAATATAATTGGATGGATATAAAGCCAAGAAAAAAACCTCTAGCTATAGAAAAAACACCCACTATCCTAACTAAACCTAACAATGGTTATTGAAGAAAACTTGCAAACAAAATTGAAGAATGCATTAAGAGATACTAAGTGCACTTCTAATATTTCTTTTCTATTGGCTCTTTCATTGGCTCTTCCATCTCCATTACAAATGATCAATCTTGCGAATTAGTTCCAATATTATTTATTCAGACCCAAACTAGCAAACTTAGAAGATGGAGATGGTGGTTTTGGTAGGTCGCCATCTACCATAAAGAAGAGGTTCTGAACAAAATTCACTTTAGATTAGAAAGGAAAAATGGATGTCTTTTCAAAGAAATTGGACTAGAGGATACAAAAGTATAACAAGCCAACCGTGCAAGAGTTTTGTTTAAACGTTGGTATCAAGCAACATGTACTACAAGTATGGATGCACAATAATAATAATACACAAAAATTTAAAATTCCAAAAAAAACATCACAATGTTGCTTTGGTGATTTTATATAATACTGTTATCAATTCTTGATACATTAAGAAAAAAATTATCTTTTCCACAAGATGTATTTTTCAAATTGTACATGAAATCTTCACTCTCACATTGAAGCATTCCATTTAAGCATTGTCTAAATTCATGTTGTTTACAAACAAAATCTCAATGAAAATAATATACTTCTTAGAAATCTTCAATAACAACTTTTCTACAATTGCATCTTTGATTTTTGAGCTAGTTAAGCATGTTGAGGCAATGACATGCAACATGAAGAGAGAGAATAATATTTACATGCATCATTACAACAATAGAAGGAACATAAAACCTAAAAGAAAAATTGAAATCAGTGATCAAGTTGCCATAATTTTATTTTGAAATGAATTAGAGAGATATGAATAACCATACTAGTATTTTAGCTCTAGAGACTTATTGCCAAGGTAACAAAATCAATAACATGTTAAGAAACTTAATGATTGAGAGGCTCGAGTAGATCACCTAGTTATAAGTAAGCTCTATCAAAAACAATTATAGAAGATCAGACAGAACTAGGATAGCATGATCATGGGGTGCCAACGGCAATAGCAGTAGAGGGAGGCCCAGATGTGCCATGCCAAAAAGTACATGGCATGTTGTTTGGACCCCAAAAACAACTAAAATAAGAGTGTCAAGATAAGTTATTAGGTTTAGAGGCATATTTGCAAATAAGAGAAAACTCAAGGGTACATTTGCAATTATTAAGAATTCAGCAATATATTTGATATTTCCACATTTTTTAGGGGTATGTTTGATATTTTTCCTATTATAAATCATTCTTTGGATAAAGAGATATTTTTTGAAAACTAAATCTTTAAATTAAATTAATAATTTTATTATAATATTTATTTATTTTTAAATATATAATTTATTTGAATGTGTAAGTATGAAGAAACCTTTGATCTTCATATAAAGATTTTAAATAAAAAGTAAAATTTTAAAAACAAATTTTTGTTATTTTGATTTTTCTTATTTTCTTTCTTCTTTTGATATTGTAGCATATTCAATGTTATTTTTAGATCTTGATATGATGTCTATTACAATTTTTTTTATAGGATTTTTTGTATTTAAAGAGTGTTTTGAAGACACGAGGTCTGTAAGCAAAGGGCTGGACAAAATACAAACTGGTATAAGTAATGTGAGATTACTGGCTAAATTCATTAACTTAGAAGGATTGTGTGGCAAGGAATTTTCAATAATCTCAAGTTGTTCTTGAATTTGATTCTAGCCACACTCATGGTAGACGACTATTTATGCTTTATATATATATATATATATATATATTCCTTGCAATTTGCTTTAGCCCTTTCTAGGCTTTCTTCAAGGCTCTTTGACATCTACTCCTATTGACCTTGAGCCTCAAGCTCTAAATTTTGCAGGCGACAGGGCAGGCACAAGGACAAGCATATAAAAACGTTTTTGAAATTGCTTCACATCTATTTATGGATGAATAAAAAAATTATTATGATATGAGCTCAACACTAGATCTTTCTTAAGCATTGTATCATGGTAATCCTTTTTCTTCATCCATGAATGAATTTTGGACGATTTAAACAAAGATTATACATGGCTGAGCTTGCTCGCATGTCCACCCGCTCGCCTGCAAAAATTTAAAAATTCTAAGAGATGAGGCAAAGGGGACCTTGGCAAGCGGAAGGGCCAAGGAGAAGCGGCTAAGAAATTATAGGAGGGATCAAAACGTCAAATACAATATGAATGGTCTACCATGTAAATAATTGGAGTCAAACTCAAAACTTACATTTTGCTAACGGAATTTATAACCGTTGGCACCAACCTTCCCAAATGCTTGTCATGAACCCAAATCTCACATTATTTGTATTGTTTTGGGTGCTACCTAGTCCATTGCCTGTGGGCAGCAGGCTAAACAGCACCAAGACTGGTATCTGCATGGATGAGAACCTGTGAAAAAGTCCCATTCTAAAAACTTGTGAATAAAGTCCGATTCTAAGAGTGATACCGCCGAACCAGTTTGGACCTAGGTCATTTAGGGCTTAAATCTTCATAGAAGAAATTATTTCTTTCAATTATTGCTACTAACGTGAGTGTAAGTCTTGTCAAACAATCACTATCTTAAATGCGACCTCATTCACCGTCTGTTCGTATGTGATACAGAACTCCATGGATGAGATGGTGTACAAAGCTATATGTTCTGAAGTGAGGCTCTGCTTGAAGGGGGCACCTGATTGTGAACTGAGTCTGCGTTTCTCAGCTCCGTATGACCGCTGGCTGCATATTTCAATGGCACATCGTATCTTCATCTATGTTTAGTGAAACTTGAATAGCGGGGTTGTTCCAGTTCGTCCACAGTTTCACACGCCAGAATGGACAGGAATATCCTCATATCACTACGACAGAATCTGCACAAGCTTGGAGTGTGCAGCGCGAAGTCTTGTCCTAGCAAATGCAGTAGGAGTCGCAACGAATTCTTGGGATCTTTGAAAATTTGTTTGCCCACTTCTGGTGTTAAATCACTGCGTCCAAGTTGAATTAGTAATGGAGTACGTTTCCGTGAGAATTGAGATAGAAGAGTTTCACCTAATCCACAAACCAAACCAAAGCTGTGGTGAGGGCGCTTCAAATTCCAGATATCTTGTAATGAAGAGAGAAGAATGCACTTATCTACTGAAATGAGCTACCCGTTTCATTTCATGAAGAAACGAGGCAATGACTACTTGCATGGTATCTCCCGTGTCTAGATCTACTAGATTTCCATCATATAACTAGGCGCTAGCGTCCACATGCCCGAATGTCCTTGTGAGTTTTGTGCAGTCAAGCAAGCACCACAAATTGGACACCACGACATTCATGTATGACGCTACTATGTAGCTGCTGAGGAAATATAAATGTTCAGAAGAAACAGAATATGTTGATAATCAGCTTGTGCGATCATAGAACTTTACTGATGCGATCGATAATGTCTTCAGCTCTTAAAGCACCTTCCTGCACAATCGCCCACCATAAACAATTAATTGTTACGTCTGGTCCCGCAATTTATTTGTAGCACATTCATAGTGCTGATATGAAAATTATGAGATAAGAAGTCTGTCGTTTCTAAGAAACGTACAATTCTATCAGCAACTTTTCCGCCTTTAAAAAGCACCATTGTGGGCAGTGCACGGATGTTGAAACGGGAGGCAAGTTCAGGGTATTTTTCGGTGTCAATCTTCACCTGTCAGCAGGTCATTGCACAAAATCCAATAGTTAAGCCCAACACATTACAAAAGCAACACCAAGATCTTAATATTGAAACTATAAATCGAACTCGAGACCATTCACAGATTAGAAGGAACTTACAACGCGAAGTTTATCTTGCATGATATTGCTGACTTCACTCAGAATCGGCACCATCATCTGACAAGGTCCGCACCTTCCCGCGTTCAAAAATCACACAGCTGTAGTTTAGATAACCAAAAAATAATGCTACAAGAATGCCTCTGCACTCTAGAAATTGAAAATGTCCATCAGGCGGAAAAGCAAACCGAGAACGGGAAGAAATCCATACCAAGTTGCGTAGAAATCCACCAGCATTGGCACTTTAGAATTCTCGAGCATATCGTCAAACGAAGAAAAGGTTTGTTTGGTAGCTTGACCCTGAAATGACGCATTACACAGGTGATCATAAGCATACGAATCAAACCACCATACATCAACAGGTTACACCGGTAATCATAAAAGAGAGCGTAAGAGCGAGCTTCAGCAATAGGTAGGATGTGCGGGAACGTCTTCCTTCAGGTGATAACATTATGCCACTCACCGAATGCCACATACGAAGGAAAACAGTTCGGTTTCCATTTTACTTCTCCAAAGTCTCTAAAGAATTCAACTATAAAACGTAAAATTATTGTTAACAGACACACATTGCGCAAACGAAGTAGAAAAAGCGAAGTAACACCAAATCATAATTGGCCTGTGCATTCAGGTTAATGAAACATTTACCTTTGATGCAAATAAACACTATTTTCTAAAATAATAGATAAAAAGCACTCATATCAGTTGGATTGGTATACTTGAGCGACTAGCCATTAAGAGAGAAGGAATATACCCGAAATTCCGGTCGACTTCTACATGAAAAGACTGATCCTCGGCCAAATGTGCTCCTCCTGACACCCTCCGAGGCTTGACCCAAATTTCCCACAACCTTAACCGTACCCCTCAATGGTGAGATACGTGGTGTTTGCTTGCAGAAGTGTCTGGCCGTCAACAATGCAAAGGATGAGCTGAAGCTCGAACACGAGGCCAGAGCGGAGGAAGCCCTGAGCCTGACCGCGCGCGCACCCGACGCCACCTCCATCATCAAAGCGCGGCTCTCCATCTCGAATTCAAAAACCCTAACGAAAACTCGCACCAAATCACAGTTCCACCGGCACAAATCAAAGCTTCAGGGCAGCCTGGCGGACGAAATGGACGCTAAACCCTACACCCACCCCGCTCGAACCCAGTGGCCTCCCTAAGCAATTCAAGTACCCAGTGTCAGTTTCTCTGTTCACAGGACCCAAAAATTACAACGGCAGGGAGATAAAGAGAAATATCTCCAGAAAGCACGCGGCTACCGTCAAGATTGGGCAAAGAACCCACTCTGAGATCGGCGCAGAAGGGGAAGAAGCCGAGGGAGACGAAGGAGGAGACGACGAAGAAGAAAAAAAAGTTAATATCAAAAAGCCAACAGACGAGGAGCATTATCCGTTTGCCGAGCTCCGACCACACCCTCGGAGCGCGTTCGCGTTCACACTTGTCTGGATTAGGTCAAGCAGAATATCTGCCACTTGGCACTCTTCGTTGCTCCCGCCAAGTGTCGTAGATTGACACCCGCCTTCATTATCGATATCCGGGGTTCCTAGACCGGGTATGGTGGCTTGAACCTGGAGTTTCGTTTGGCAAGCCCCCTGAGGTTTGTGATTATCTACCATGTCTAGTGTTTATTGTGTAACAAATAATCTTCAAAGTTGTAGTGGGAATGAATGATTGTTGCATACTATTTTTTCTAAATCTGTATTTTATGGTAAGTAAGATATATTATTCGTTAGAATATTGTCGGATTTTACAGAAGATGTTAAGATAGTTTTTCAACTATACGTGCAAAAAAATCAAAAATCAAAATCAAAACAAAAAAAAAAAAAACAAAACAAAAACAAAAACAAAAACAAAAACAATAAAATGATTGAAATTTTTTATTTATTTAAGTTTCTTTTTGCTTTTAGAAGGTAGTTTAAAGAAAATTAAAAAAAAAATTAAAAAAAAAAATCATTGGAAAAATAATAATAATTGAAATAAACAAATCTTCCAAGAAGTCCTAAAATAAGAAAAAAAAAATACAATTGACTTCCCAAAAAAGATAGAAATTTTTTCTTCTATTAAATTTATATATACATACTATGTCCATTTTTCCAAAACAAAATATTTGCAATATACAACTTCTTAAACCAATATCTCATGAACATTTACATCAACATTTTTTTAACATTTGTTTTTTAAATATACTTTTTTACTAAAAATATGTTTAAATGATTTTTCTACTATAAATTATTTATATGATGATAGAAAAATAATTACATATATTAGTGTAATGAATACATGACTTTGATATTGGCATTTTAACAAATCTAATATTGGCAATTAGATAAATTTTAAAAAATAAGTATAAACTTCTATTAAATTGTACAAGTATTAAATGAAATAAAATTACTTATATATATATATATATATATATATTGAGAGAGAGAGAGAGAGAGAGAGAGAGAGAGAGATATTTTATGTATAGGAGAATGTTAAATATACCCATGCTTTTAGTAAATAGACCTATTCTAGATGAAGAATATGGTAATTGATGAATGTGGTTGGTTTTTATTGGTTGCAGATCCAATAGTAGAATAATGAATCTAGAGGTTTTGTTTGTTTTTTTTTTTTTTTTTTTTTTTTTTCATTTCAATTCAGAAAAAACTTGGATCTATTTAAAATTCATCTCTCTCTCTCTCTCTCTCTCTCTCTCTCTATATATATATATATATATGAGTATACAAGATCTAATTTATTTATATATATATATATATATATAGTCAACAAATTTTTATATCCGTAACTTGAATTTGTCTATCAATTACCACTTAATAATTCAACATTTGGCAATTGAATTAATGCATTAAATATCTATAAAATGATTAGTAATTTGTGTTGTTACTTGATTTTTACAGAAAGATTTTGGATAAATCTTTCATAAAGTATCCTTTCTCAACTAATTCAAAACCAAAGTATTTGAATCTTTATGAGAATGCTTGACAATGTTCATAAATGAATCATTAGGTACATAAAATATTCTCACAATAATAATAAAGTGATGTGTGTATATATATACACATACATCAAACTTAAATGTGATAAGATTGAAAAATGGATATTCAATGTTGTATAATTTCACCTACAATGTATACCCATGTAACAGAACTTGATGTTTTATTTTGTGTATGCTAGTATAAAATACATGTACATGCTTCTACCTATTGGAAAACTTGTCATATGTAAATTCTTTAAGTTGATTTTAAAAATTGTGATTTTCCATGTCAAATGATAAGAATCCACATTACAAACTGATCTTTGACATGAATATTGCTGTAAGTTTTATCTATATATGTAAACATACAAACACATGTAAAAGAAAACACTAAATTGAATTTGATATCATATGATTTTTGCATGTGTCCTAGTGCATCACAACATGAACTGTGTTTTCCGAACAGTATTTCCTTCTATTCTTGTAATTAACACACACATAATTCCACAGATTACCATGTATAAACCATGTGAAACCATCCATGTGAAAATAGTGTACCACAACATACAACAACTGAAGCAAATGAAAACCAAGAAAAAGAAACTTACAAAAAGTATGCCTTCGAGAAAGATATCCTTAAGAATCCATCTGATCCGTCATTAAGAACCAGGGAGATTATTCCTCGAGTTCATATCCATACTTTGCCAACAGACCTTCAGAAAGGCGCCTTGAATACGCCATTCTTACATCCCAAACTTGTGCACAAAAGAGTACGTCTGAGTAAACGCATGCAAACAATGGCAGATGTTCGATGACCAACTTCACCTGATAGAAGGTTGGTGATGAACGGCCACATTACAAATTAAAAGAGAGAAAATTCATACATCTATACGTTACAAAAGCGACAAGTAAAATTCAGAAATCATTAGGACTTGTTGGAACGCATTTCGGAACCACAGCAATTTCTATACAAAGAATCTTGCAATTTGCAAGACATCACTTTACTCACCATCTACAACAAATGTGCATCGACTCTCTTATAAACCAATTCAACACTAAAGAAACGAGTTGAAACAAAAGTCGCAATCAAATCATGAATTCCAACTGATGGTGTCTAAGATGGTTCATCTACATATGGATTTCCAAAAATATCCTAAAAACCAGATTTAGTACACATCAACTACGTGCAGCCAAGCAAAGAACGTAAAACTAAGATTGTTCCCTTCGTGTTTCAGTACACAAACAAAATTTTGGTAACTCCCAACTAACTTGTCCTCTGACGATGTGAGTGTCTTCTCCCAAAATTACAAGTTAAAAGAACGATCTTCTTGTTCATTGGGCAGCGCCTGCCTCGGTGACTAATAACTTCACAGCCTCCGCATGTCGTCAACTTCTCTAAATCACTGCCCTCGACCGTCCGAGCCTAAAGAAACCTAGCTCCTCCCATAAGGGTGGTACCGTCCGTGGCTGCTGCTACCGCTACCGTTCCCGCTGTAACCACGACTGCTTGCATAACTTCCACCATAGCCACCGCTTGAACCATACCCTGCACCGTAACCACTTGTACCGCTGTACCCACCATATCCCATTGACCCATATGCATCGGCTCCATCGCCATACCCACCCATCATCCCAGCACCGTATCCACCGCCTGACCCATACCCCGAACTCCCACCGTATCCTCCTCCCACACCCAAATCTCCTCCATAGCCACCCCCATAGCCATATCCTCCGCCATACCCCCCTCCATAGCCCCCGCCATAACCTCCACCTCTACCTCCATATCCTGACCTGTAAGATCCCCCATACCCGCCACTGCTGGAGCTACCATAGCCCCCTTCATATCCTGCATAGCCTCCTGTGCCTGCACCATACCCACCACTCCTGCCGTCTGGGTATCCAGCACCAGGACTGTCTTGAATGGCTCGTTTTGGCTCTGCTTTCTTGATCTCCACCTGAGCAAACCACGCGAAGTACTTTCAGAACAATCCACAGCAATATATATGCTAGAAAGTATACTGTAAGGTAGACAAGCTTTGTTAATATACACTTCACCAAACCGCCACCAAGCCTCATATCGTTACTAATTCATCGAATGGCAAGGTTGGGACCAGTAGAATTCCCAGTCATTCACCTGCTTTCCTGCAAGCTCGTGCAACTTTCCGTGAGCAAGAATATCCTCCACCACCTGCTCGCTGTCGAACGTCACGAACCCGAAACCACGTGACCTGCCGGTGCTGTGATCTTGCATGATTTGGTGCTCCATTACGCTTCCGAAACCAGCAAAATAGCTTTTGAACTCCTCTGTTCACAATCAGAACCCACCCACTCAACATCCCACATCACAATCAACCCCGTCCTCGACCCGTTGCCCCCTCACAAGCGACCATCTAGCAGTCCGGCTCACACCAACTAAACTCTTAACTGCATGGTCAAAGGGCAGGGAAGGCTAATGCTCGCAAGCACTTCTGCATACCATCTGTAATAGAAGGAGGAATGCCTCCGACAAAGATCTTCTTAGTCTTCGGTCCTTTACTTGTTGCCAAGTTTTCACGAGGAACTGACTTTTTGGCCTCCACCTGCAGCTACCTCTAGTGAGATCCCCATACACCACTAGTACTCCCAATCACCCTCATCCACCCTACATCAGTGCCATCCGTCAAAGCTTACGTTCGGAACTATTGGCTGCTAGGAACGAGCTACCAGTACTGGACAGGTAAAGCTGCAAGACTTCTACAGACCCGATCCGGAACTTACCGTTCTTCCGTCAATCACATGCTTGTCGAGCACGACTTTGTCGCACACATCTGGATCAGCGAATGTCACAAATCCAAACCCGCGGGGATGTCCAGTAGAACGATCTTTCATGATCACCGCATCGATGATCTCGCCGTACTTCTTGAAGTGACTCTGCAAATTGTCTGTGCAAATACAGGAAATAAGAGTGACAACACACCCAGATTGCCACACAAACCGTCACCTCATTGCAAACAGAAACTCCCTGAACAAAAACAGACTTGATGGTCCTACATCAGAGAACACGGAAGATAACACCCATCGGACCATATTGCCACATGCAGAGCACCGCACCGCACAACGACCCATCGTTCAATTTGAATTATCTCGGTGATAGCCGCTGAAAGTTTCATTCATACCCCTCCTCAACTCCAGACAAGCTCAGAAATACCATGAAATCAAAACACAATAATGTACATAACAAAGCTAAACTTACACAACCACAAAAGACCGTCAACTAACAAACGATAACATCGAGAACAATCATATATGATGACTCTCACGAAACATCCCACCCACGACCCAACATATCATGGCTCCACTTGTCGATTATGAACATCACAACCAATGCGAAGAGGACACTGACACTGAAGTCACTCATCAACACCCACGCGCTGATGATTATTGTAATGCACAACCAAGAGAAGCGCACATACCTGTGGAAGTGTCCCATGACAAACCACCGATGAAAATCTTCCCCCTACCAAACGAATGGACAGTGCGTTAGCTCTCATACATGTCATGGCAAGTGACCAAACAAACCTCCTACATACAAACCCCCGAAATTACAACCACAACACATTTCAGCGAGGACACAAACATCTGGGGATCAGACTAATGGTAAAATCTTCACTAAAACTAAACCTAGGGCCGCTGATAACTAACCCTGAACCTGACGCTTTTCCTTGCGAGCCGTGGAAATCCATCTCTTCCATAGCATCCTTCGCCGACCCTCCGTTTTGAAATCCGTCCGTGTGCTCCTCTTCATCGGCATGCTGGGGCTCGTCGTCCACGGCGGCGTCCTGCTGCCCCTGCTCTTCATCGTCCACGTCGTTGTCCTCCAGGGTCCCGTTTAAGTCAGGCGCCACTTCTTGCATCCTCTCTTCGTCACCCCCTCCCTCCATCCTTCCCGCCGCGCAGGAGCTGCAGCAGATGCGCCGTCGCAGTTGGCCCTCTCAAACCCTCTTCTCTTCTTTTCTACCCTTCCCTGCCAGTCTGCGGGCCTTCTTCTGCTTTCCAGAAAACTGCTGCTGAGCACAAACCAACCGACCCAACTCACCAACCGTCTGGAATACACGATACCAACTCGTCCGTCGCGGTCTCGCTCGTGACTTTCCGTCTTTCCTGACAACGCTCGCCCGTTTCTGCGACATGCACCCCAGGCATGCACCCTCTCCAATCATACACCCGTAGAAACACTCCGGAGCACACAAGCAAGAACCTCATCCACTAACTCTCACTGCAAACTAGCCCAACCCTAGCCTTCCATTCCCACATCCGCGAAGCAGAGGTCCCTCCCTCGGACCGACGATCCCGCACCCCTCGCCCCTCTCAACCTTCCCCAATTGAATCAACACGACGCCGCTTGAAATCTAGGAAGGCTGACCATCATCGACGCAGAGTGCATAGTTGGGAAACTCACCTGGCTGGTATGGCGCTGGCGTGAGAGGGTGGTCGGGCGAGGCTTGGGTCTCAATCTGGGCCTTGTGTGATGGAAGTGAAGGCAAAAGTGGGGGTTCGGCGTTGTCGAGTTCGGTGGAGACGCATCGACGAGCAAACAACACACGTGGTGTCAGAAGAGCTGCACCATGTGCGTACAATGCTCGTACTCCGTCGTCTTCCAATGCCTCGTCCCCAGCTTTGCTCAAAGTGCTGTGCGAACCCATTATGCCGACATCGAAACTGAGACACTCATTCTCTTCTTTACATGTACATGTGCTTATATATAGATATACGTGAATTTTATACATAGGGGTGCACTCATATTGTTACAAAATCAAGTGCTTTGATCAAATTTAATGGAGTGTTAATGCAATGAAGAGAAAGTAGAACGCAATTTCAGCACCTATGATGAAATATAATTTGCGGTAAGCACATGTTCCATGCTGTAAACTATACACCAGGATCTTTCGCTGGTCACTATCTGTAATAATTGAGTGCGTGCAAAGACTTTGATAGTCTCTGAACAATTGAAAAGCATGCTCGGTGCCGAAGTCGATAAAGATTTCATATAATAGAAGCATGCTCATTGGCGATGCGGTATTGAGAATCCTAAAACCACCACCTACAAACCATTCTCCCTTACACCGTCTCTAAATTGTCTGCTAAGAATTAAGCAAGCTGATCCAGTATTGTACAAGGATTGAATTTCTATTTGTTAAAACCAGGAAAATCAAAAGAAGAGGAAAAGTCGACAAACAGGTCTGTAATTTAACATTGCAAGGAATGTGCAATGTGGTCCATACCCCAAGTTTAACCGCAAAAGATCTATGTTATCACAGTTCCTGCAGTCAAACTGAACAGCAATTGCGCAGCCATTTTATCTTCAATCTCACTTTCCAGTTCATCTTCACCCAAAAAATACATAGTTGGGAAGGATAGGGTGAAGATACGTTTCCATTTGATATTTAATCCCATGCAACGTCCATTTCGGCACCAGTTCAAACGTAACCTCATCCACAAAATTAGCCACATGTTATTCCTCGACAATACCAGCCTGGCATCTCATCACATCATTATTCCAAAATTGCTTGCCAACCTACTCAATTTACAATCGCTTCTCATCATCTGTAATCCGTGCCACCAAATATCAAAACGCACTGCGCCAGGACGTCAATGTATATCTTCCTCGCCCTTCACACCAGACTAGTCTCCCAGCAATTGTCAACTAACCTACGCTCGTCAAAATCTTTGCTGCGAACCGTCGCGTGCTTGCCAACATCACCACCCCTATAAACCTCCTCCCACTCTACCTTCCGCCAAAAACATTTCACAAATTGGCTTGTGAGCATCTATTCCACTGCGCACCTTTGGCAGCGAGTTCCGCTGACTCCCTCTACCAACTCTCTTAGCCCTGACACTGCACCTACGCTACTCGGCACTACCACATCCTGTAACCCTCCACCTCCCAGCCCCTAAACGGGCCTTCACCCACTACTACTAACATCGCACCACTAGGCAACTCAGATGCATCCCCGCTGCCTCACACCCAAGCATTTGCCCGACTTCGCTTCGCCCTTCCGCACCCTTGCCCATCCCACCACCACCTCTGCTCACGCCGGAGCGGCCGCAGGCGCACCGTTACCGCGCCCACCCTGCGCCGCACCAGGGTTGCGTCTTGGTGCTCTTTGACCTTCGCCGCGACGCTCTCCCCCGCCGTACGCTGCCGCACCACTGCCGTTCGAGTTAGGGTACCCTCCTCGCGGAGCTCCGGACCCGCGCCCGCCCCTGCTGCCTCCGTCTCGCTCCCGTGACTCTAGCCCCATGCCACGACCGAAGTTTCGCCCACCGTATGACCCGCGTCCTCTTCCCCCTTCGCCTCTGTCGCTACGATATGGCCGCTCGCCTCTGTTGTCGACCGAACGCCTCGGCGCTGCAACCAACGCGACCACGCTGTTACCCACCACATCCAACTAGCTACCTCCTCATCTCGAACCCCTTCCCTGACCACTCACCCAACCAACACAACCACACCCACGATATCCGCCTTCACCCAGCTGCACTGCATGTGTCCGACGTACCTCGTCCCATGGGCTTCTTCTCCTCGATGTACACTGGACGCCCACGGATTTCCACACCCGAAGCCTGCGCACACACCCACCATCCCAAATCAGAACCCTCCCTATCACAACCAGACCGCACGTGCTCAAACCATACATGCGTGCACATTCTAACCCCTTCCTCGTCACGACACCGCCAACCTCCTCACCCCAACTGCCTCCTCACCACCGCATGCATTCCTCAATCTCACCTCGATCGCACTCTGAGCTCCACTAACTTCCTCGAACTCCACAAAAGCGTAGCATACACCCTGCCGCATACACCCAACCAAACCATCGTCAGTACCACCCATACACCTCAATAACAGCATACCACTCGCCTCACCAACTATTCCTCGTGTCCGAAACCATCCCTTGCACGTTTCATTCCAAAACCCCCTCTTTCACATGCACCAGGCAACCACGCGTCATTCACCACGTCTTCATGAGACCAACCTTCTGATTCTTCACGTTCACGCCGCCAGGTTTCACCGTCCCATAGTTGCGCAGCACCTCCTCTAGCTCTGGTGCCGTGGTGTTCATCGGCAGATTCTTCACGTACACTGACCGCCCGTCAGCTGCATCCAAGCATCAGTCAGCACCCATAACGCCTCCCCGACAACTGCTCCAACCCATGCCCGGCCATGCACATCCGCCCCATCCTCTCACCATCCTCTATTGCCCGCTAACAAGGAACACTCACTACCACTCTCGTCCACTTCCACCACCCCGCCGCCTAGCATGTCCTACAAATACCTCACCGCATGCCATCACCTCATCCACCTTACATCGCCTCGTCACAAGATCATGCCGGACACATTTTCTCCAACAAACCTACTCTCCACTCCGCCTCTACGACATGCTAATTAGCCGCCTCTCCACTCGTTGGCGCAATAATCTCATGCTACACTACCCCCTCTTCTCACGTTCATCCCCACAATTTTGCCACCACACACCCACCCACTTCCACACACCTTCGTTTTCCACAGGTGCGCTCTCTTCCTGCACTTCCTGTGTAGGAGCTGTCGCAGGAGCTGGAGATGCCGTTGCACTGGCTGCAGGACGTTCGGCCGGGGCCTGAGGCGTAGCCTTCGGAGGCGGTGTTCCGATAACCCTCAGCTGCACAAGCCAACCCGAGACAACATGAGCCAAGTCCCACCCACGCATTCACTTATCACCGATCCACTATGCACACCATACACCTCCACACATCAACCACTCCGTCACAACCAGGTCGGGCTCAAGGAATCCCACTCACAATAGACGCGTACGAGTGCTTCTTGGGTGCCTCCCCACCACTCTCGGCCTCATTCACTGCCGAAGACGGGGCGTCCTGGACCATCGGCGACTCCGGTTCCTCGATCACCGGTGTAGTCGTGTCTAGAACTGGCGCCTGGCCGTCCTCATCCTCGCCTTCACTTCCTGCAGTCTCCGGGTGCACGCGAACCTCCTGGACCATCGTCTCGCTCTCCGAAGCAGAGGGTGAAACCTCCCTCACCAACTCGGGTTCCGGCGCCGAAGCCTGTTGCTCCGCAGCTGCTCAGAACCCCAACCGCACGACAACGGGTCACTACGTGCAACAAAACCCTAGCTAACCGACTCCGCCACCCCTACCACTACCATAACATACATCACTGTCGTCCGAAAACGTCCGGTGCTCACCTGGCTCGGGAACGGGTTGGTCAGTCTTTTCCTGCGGAGTAGCGTCATCCAGATAACGGAAGACGTCGTTCAGCACGAAGTATCCTTTCTCCTGTGGAGCCAAGAAGAAGCTCTGCACGAAATTCCTCTTCCCACTGGAACTCGTGGACAGCGACCCCGTCACTAGAACCAGCACTCCACCATTCAGCGAGTCCTGAGAGTCCACGGTCTTGATTTCTGCCTTCAGTTGGCTGTAGTCCAACGACATCACTTTCTGGTGTATTTCCTGCAACAATCATGCCCCACATTGTTCAAACCCCCATCTGAACCCGACCGCCGACCATCCACCATCGACATGACAACAGTTCTGCCGAAACCTCCAGCACCATGGTCGAGCAAAGCTCAGTACCACCATATGCAACACATCATAGACAGTGGGCACGTGACTACGAGAGCTCGGACACCAAGAGATCCAGCATCTGCCTCCTCATGCGCACGGGAGAGCACAGACCCCTCGTGTACTACACGCATCAAACCTACGACGACCTTGTTTACCACACCCTCCTTCATTGAGCTACTTTACAGAGTGAATGACCAACAGGTACATATTAGTTCCTAACAAAGACGCTCACATTCTGGGTGGAAACGGTATCCACGGCACCATCAGCTCCTGCTTCGGCCCGAGTCAAGCGGCTGGAGTCGGTGTAAAACCGATGAACCACTTGTGGTGACTGATGAAGGACGGTGTAATACTGGTTCACGAACGCGTTCCCCACCTGCACCCCACACACCGAGTACGTATCGTTCAGTTCACAAACGCCGACACCCTACATTTCTATCCATGTGACCCACCACCACAAGCCAGGGGTCATAGTATAGTGCACCATCACCCACGAACAAACCGCGTGCAGAAACAGAGAAATGTCCGTAGAGTTGATATACAAGCGAGCCGATGGACTAGGTGCAGTCGCCCACACTGCAGTGTCTCTTTCAGACCCTCGTCAATCACACTCGCACAATGCTGCAAGCCTGGGAATAAGGATACATCTTACGCCTCAACCACACGTTAACAGGTCGGAAAAGGAATCTGACACAATTAAAACCCAAGGTGGCTCACGAATTTTACCACATGTGCTGCAGCAGGAATTTGAGCAGGGGCATTCGCGGAATGGTTCGCCATTGTTCCTGCAAAACGCATTTCGAACGGGACGCCTGCTTAGTAAACATGACACCATTTGAATCACACATCCTTCAAAACAAGAGAACTCACTCCGTTAAGGGTCGACCAGAACCAGTAGATCCACAATCCATCCAGCTCACATATCAAACGAGTGAGTGAGCAGTGACACTAGTTTGCCCATGGTACAGGCAGGATTCTTCGGACGTCACGCAGCTTATTATTTAAACGCGCCACAAAGACTTCTTACCGGCCACAGAATTTTCAGCTTACATAAAACACAAAAACATCCTTTCCTGCAATCGTTCGCCATAGCTTTGGTACGGAACACATAACCTAGATGCGAAACAAAATTATCTGATTGATAAGAGCGTGGACATTGGCTTTAGTTTCCGTCAAGTATGTGCGGACTAGCAGCAGGGCGTGGCTACTGGATGCCTCTACACCGCCGTCGTCACCTGCTCGCACCTAACGAAAGCCTTCAGTTAGTGGGGTGCGACCCTCGTCGTTCACATTCAGAGTTTCGTACAACGTACGCAGGGCAAAGTAAATATGACGAGTCAAGCTCCGATGTGTAGGTGTTGAAACTAAGGAATTTCAAAGGTTGAAAAGTTAACGTATCCCAGAGTGGAATACTCTTCGAGTGAAATAAACAAACGATGAGTTAACACACTCCCAGTGAGTTAAGAATAGCGTCCAAACATTGTTAGATAAACCAGGACGGGCTTGTTCACGTGTAATGCGCGGTACGGATAACTCAACGAAAATTCTATGTCCTAGAAACAGAGAGCAACCAGTTCATCTGCAATGGTTTTCCTGCTTAAGCAACTCGTATCCTACACTCAAGTCCTGGAAATCTATGCATACAAGACGAGGCCTCACCTTCAAAAACTCTACATGACCAATAACATCAGAAAGACTATAGATAGGTCCGTTCCAGGTCGGTTGCTCCATGATCTACATATCCAACAGACCGGTTTGTACCGCAGACGGGTAACAACTTATAAAACCACAGCACTGCATAGCAAATCACTCGAAAACACACCAAGGACTACAATGCGACACTACCTGGCCTCACACCACCGCAGCGGTGTGCAAACTTGCCCTTCGATCTCAACCTGCCAGGCGAGTTGAAAGCTAAGCCCCCGCCGCCTACCTCAAGACCGCGGCTCCGAAACCTGCCTACAACGATTGGAACAAACTGTGCCCAGCCCTCCGGTAGCGACAGGCAGCCCCGAGTCACAGCAAGACCACCACCACCACACAACCGCGAGCTCCACACTCCACAAAACCCCTCCAACCGCCCCCCTGCTTCAGCGGAAACCGCACCCCCAGAGTCACGAACTACAACGGCGCCAACAGTATCAGCCTCCGGAACTGTAGTAACCACCCGCGAGGGGAAGTCGGGGAGCAGAGAGGGAGGGAGTGAAGGAGGGAGGGAGTCTCACGATGGCGATGGCGACAACGGAGGAGGGAGGGAGAGATCCGAGCTGCGACGACAATGAAGTGGGCTCTGCAGGGTGTCTACAGCTTTTGATGGGAGTCCGAACCCTAATCTGTCTGGATGTTCAATAACCTGTTGTCTTTGTTCTCTTGTGGTTTTAACGCCTTGCCAGCCCATTCTAGCACCTTCTTTAATTTGTCCCTATTACCTTCTCCATACACACCCCCCTCCCCCCCCCCCCATTGGACGCAAAACTTGGGATCTCTGTGCTGGCCTCCTCGGAATCCACATCATCTACGCTTTCCTTTACAGGGGCATTCTGCTTCAGTAGATTGCCTTCCATGCCTTTGTTCTCTGCAGACGTATTCATTCCTATAATTGGGTTCATAGGTATTGGCATCGTCTGTCTTTCCATGCTGCAGCTCTTCTGCTTTGGCTCATATTCCTGGCCTTTTTGAGTTGGGTATTGGGAGTGGAAGCCTTAGAAAGAGTAGGACTTGGATATGTGAGTTGTTCTTGAATTACTCTTTCATTTCAATGAGTTACAATTTTGTAGAATCTGAATTCAATTTTTGCTGTGAATATTCTAATTCAGAATTCTGGAATCTTTTAATTGTGTCGAAGAGGTATCTTTGCAAGTGGTACTTTTGAGGGACTGGACCAACCCAATTGTTGATTTTGGTGGTCGAGTATCCTCAACTTGGGATAGTGGGTCAGAGAGACACATAATTATGGGTGTGTCAACTATTTCAACAGTTCCAAAGTACAAATACCACGCATTGAGGTATTGGACTTTGGGCAGTTCTAGTGTTGTAGCTAATGTAGGCAAATCTTAGTAAGAATTTTATTTCCAAATGATTTTATATGTATGTATGTATATATGTGATTTATCTTTAAGGTCCAAAAATGATTATGCAGGATAAGCCTCCACTTTCATGTGCAATGTGAGGTGAGTTTCTTCTTATTATATTTTATTAATTATTATCAAAAACTCATGTCATTGGGCACCGCAATCTGGTGTATATTTGGTTTTAATTTTTTTTTAAATAAAAGTTATATGTTTGATAAATAAAATTTTAAACAATATGTATAATTTTTTAAATCATGTTAATATGGTAAAAAAATGAATATATCTTAATACTTTAATATCAACTAACATTCTTATAAATTCTATCTATTCCATCAAATAAAATGATTATAAATTCTTACAGATTGATTTCTTGTTTGCTTGGATAATATAAAAAACCTAGTAATTTAAAAATAGGGCATTGAAATTCATATCTCCATAATAAGTCAAGATAGGTCTGATTTCTTAAGAGGAAAATCAAGTCTCTTCTAATGGTTATGAGTCTATGTGTCCTATAAAATATATTTTGTAGAGTTGCAATAAGATTGCAAGTACATATTCTTACAAATTTGTATACATAAGATATGAATTGTAATATTATCACCTATCTACTTATTGTATGCAATGATATTTTTTTAAAATTTATCATTGAATATAAAATAATGGTTTATACTTATTAAGAATGCTTTTGCAATCTAAAAGTATTATATCTCTATTTTCATCAATTATACTTCTACTCATAAATGAGATATTTTTTTGATTCTTGCTATAGTTAATATCTTTTAGTATAATATTATAGATTGTGACTTGCACAACCTATCATTTATTTTCACCTATATTTATAAGATCATAACAAAAAAAAATATATTATTATATTTGGAGTAGTATAATTATTTTTTCTATTGGTTGTAGAAATTTGAAGGATTTTTTTTTTTTTTTTTTTTTTTTTTTTGGTATTGGTATATATTTCATTCAAGAATTTTATTTAAGAAGTTTTTTAAAATTATTACCTATTTGATTTCTCATACTTATTTCTATTTACTTCTACTTCATTCAAATTATTTCTATTTATTTAGATAGTATAAATGGCACTTTTGACAATGACTAAAGATATATTTACATGAATACTAAAATACCCAATTAAAGCAAGTAGTTCATAAATATAGCTTAAAATATATTTTATTGTTATATAATGAATATTTTTTAAAAAATAATTTTGTGATTTTATAAAATATTAAAATAGTGATAATTTTTAGAAATTGCTTAAATATAGTTATATAAATCAATGTATCTAGTTACTATTAGTTTTGTATTTAATAACACAAGTTTCTACTAGTATTAATATGTTTGTATGTATGTCCATGTCTATATATATATATATATATATATATTAATATCTTTCTCTTAATAATCTTTTTATTTATTAAATATAGATATATTGTACTTTTAACAACTATCTTATAATAACAATTCAAATTACATTATTTTTGTTTAATTTCTATCACGATCATTAGTACAATTTTATAAAGAAAAAACAAAACATATACAATATAGAAACAATTATTTGTTTCTTTTAAATATACCATAAATATGGTTTGACATTTAAAAGTTATATAATAATATAAAAAATCATCAAGTTAGATTTTAGAAGAAAAAATGTAAATTCCAATACAAAATAGCTTGTTCAAAAAATTATTCTTTAATGGTGATAGAATAAATTGTTAGCAATTTATGGAGTTTCCAAAAAACCATGTAATTTTCTTAATACAGTAAGTTATTGTGCAAATATAAAATATTATTAGCTCTTTGTAGCTGTTCTTTACACTTCTTTATTCCAAAAGTTATCATCTAGAACATAAATCCATATAGTTTATACAATCAATGTAGAGTAGTAATGATGATCCTTCCTACTTTGCACTTGCACAACTCAATAAAGACACAAAAAAATGCAACAAAGTTGTTGTAAGATTTTTTACTTTTGGACTCTTTGTATTCTATAACTTTCAACAACTTAATCTATTTATTATCTTTAATGACCACTTTTCATGAGTCAACTTATTACGTTTTTCTCACAATTTATCTTCTGTTTAATTCTTAAGATTTAAGTCTCTAAATTTAAATAGTAAAACTTTGAATCTTTCCAACATGAAGGTAACCTTTTAATACTAAAAAACTTGATTTTCATTTAAATAAGATCTCTTACAGTTGTGGACATGTGATCCTCCAAAATAGATGTGTTTGACTAAAAGTCACAACCAAATATCAAAAATATAATATCTTCATTATTTATTATCCGAAAATCGCTCCATCTGAGATCTCCAAAACATAAAGATCCTACTTCACACAAAACACACTCCTAAACCCCCATTCTAAGAAACCAACTTAATTATGAAATTGACCAAAATCAGTCTCAAGATATTCTTCATCTACTTCAAGCACTTAGAAACCTCAATGTTATACTCCAAAAATCCAAATTACTTAGTTCCTGAACTCTCTTGACTTCACCTACATAAATCTTTGATATAAGCACTTAAACGAATCTTTCAAATAACAATTACGATAACAACTGTCATTCAAGCAAATATTTGCATTGACCACATTTTTGAAATCAAGATATTCATCATATATATATAAACATATTAATAAGTCCCTATAATTCCATTGTTCATGTTCTATGTCCACTAAACCAAATACAGACACCATGTCGCATTAACATAACAGTATGATCTACCTCAAAAAGCCCTTTACTAAATTGCAAAAACTAGATCGAACTCAACTATTACAAATACATTCATGACCATGACGAAAAATAAAATTTGGCGGCGTACTTTAAATCTATCGATTTCATACGTAATTAAAAAAGAAGAAGCTAACTATCCTAAACTCCTGCAAACTTCTCGACTAACTTATTCAATGTCCTATCGCTCACACAGTACAGGAACTTCTCCTTCTCAAAAAATTCAAAATCATAAAGAAACAGCCCAATCAAATGACTCCGATACAAACACACACACAATTCATACACAAAAGCCAGATCAACAAAACTGATGCAATGCCATTCAAAAAACTACACTACTTTATTCGGCATTTCTACTAAATGCTCCCAAATTTGGACATTGCCTCTACTTTCTGACCCCTCGACGTTAGCCAGAAGCCTCCTGTCTCCACTCCCGCAGCTACATCAACCCCCTACTTCAGCTTTCGGAACAGCTTCGGTGCCGTCTGCAAAACAACATCCACGTCATCGTCCTCAGGCCACTACAGTTCCTCACTTCATCACTTTCACTAACTACGTCCCTCACACCACACACCCACTCATACCCTCGTCGCACCAACTCCGAACTCTCACATATTTCCACCTCGCATTCCTCCCTTGCAAACCCTCAATGCCTCAACGTTCCTCCACCGTCCAACAACTCACATGCCATACTCAATCCTCACAACACCACACCACTTCATCGTTCCCCTCCTCTCAGTTCAGCAACACTTACGCATTTGTCGATGCAACCCCAGTAATCGAAATATTGCCCTGTGCAATGCTTCTGACCCTCTTCATCCTCCTCCACGCGCTTCTCACACGCCTGCCAACCAACCGCCACCAACCATCACCAAATTGCTCGCCATCATCACACTGCCCACCTTTCACATCCCTATTCACACCCATCCCCAGTATGCTCACACCCCTCCACACTCGCTTCACTCGCCCAACTCATTTCCAACTGCATCAACAACTTTCGCCGCCCTCCATCAAACCAACTGCTACTCTCACTCGGGCTTCTCCTAAACCACACCATCCGCCATCCCTTCTTGTCCTCTACTCCACACATTGCACATCCGTGCTGTCACGGCTTTAGCTCCTGTGCCGCATGCGTCCATCATGCACCAAGCCTCCACCGTTCCCGCTTCTAGCACCCGCTGTGGAACTAATGAAAGACCGTCCACGCCCCACTAATACCATACCCCACATCCCTCTCCTCGATCAACACATAAACACACGCACACATGCAGGCAACCACGCACCTGCAACGCCAAAAGCTGCTTCACACACTTCGGTTTGCACGACTCCTCTATTTCCGCCTTTGGGTCCACCACTTCTTCCTCTTCCTCTTCCTCCACTGGGGCCTCTTCCTCTTCTTCTTCCGCTGCTTCCTCCTCGGCAGTTTCTTCCACCTTCTCCTCTGCTACCTCCTCTGGAATCTCCTGAGACTTCTCTTCCACCGCATCGCCCCTGCACAATGCCGTCTCAATCTGCTCAGCTCATACACATCAGCACGGCTGCCAACTTACCGTGGCGTCATCCACCACGCACAACTCTTTGCCCTCACGGACCCACTCCTGCTTACAGTCTGCGTCGCCGCCCACTACCCGAATATTACACCATCACCTCGTCATCCTACCATCCGACACCAAATTCCCTTCACCTCGCATCCACTTACACCTTCACCAACATTCTATCGTGCCACAACCACATCACCACCGTTCGGAACACGGAGACCGTAGTTGCAGAGCCATGCCAGGCGCTCCGTTGCATCCAACCATGTGGTACATCCACCGCGTGACCTCTCGCGCTGTCGTCACTCGTCGAGAAACGGATCAATCCACCACTCCACGTACTTCGCATACCACCCGATGTCCACTTCTACATACGCCTCCGGAAAATGCATACCGGACTACATCCCAGCTCACACAAGCCTCGGAGCGCTTGCACCTACACTACCACGCCTCTCTTACTCTCGCCAACCTCCGATCGCAACTGTGCAACACCTCTGCTTCTCGTTCCGCCAAAACAACTAGACACTTTCTCACACAAGGACGCTGCTCCGCATTCGCACCCTAACCTCGTCAACTAGGTCACTCCAGCTGCCCTCCGAAACCACTCCACCAAGCCCGACTGGCACGAACCCAGCACTGTAGTCAGTGTTACGAGATCCACTCCTGCGCACTGGAAATGCCGCAGTCCGTCGCGATAACCAACTCTAGGGTTCCTCCGCCATCACCACATCCACACTAGAACCCGAGGCACTGCACAAACAACCCACCACGAACGCGATGCAACACTCGGTCCGCGAAACCCCACGCTACACATACGCCTACGCGGTCGCCCACGCACCGTGGATTGCGAGCGCCACACAGGAACACAATCTCCCCCTCGCACCCAACAGTCTCGACATCCCTGCCCTAAAACGGACAAGCCGGCAAGACGACATTCTGGCTCCACAGAGCTCCCGCATCTAGCCGCGCTGCGAACTGGGTGCACGAGCTCCGACTAGAACCGCCACCCTAGAGCCACAACAATCCACCCTTTTCCACCGATTCCAGAGTGCAGGAACGTGCCGAGGCGGGGAGTCCGGAACGAAGCAGCAGAAGCAGTGGCGCAAGATGGGAGGCAAAGTGGGAGGAGCAGAGAAGCGAAGAGAAGGGGAGAGAAGGGCTTACATGATTGATTGGAGAGTGGCAGTAGCAGCTATGGAGAGGAGCGTCACGAGTGCAACGACAATGACGACGAGGAGCACGGGAAGCAGGGGCAGCAAAAACACACTCTGGAATGGGGATGGGCTGCTTGTGATGCGCTCACCCGCGGCACTCACTCCGTCCCTTCTTCGCTCCCTCGCCGGCGCACGTTCGTTGGCCTTTCGCTGCATCCTGTCGTTGGTGCCATCGTCTGTCCCTCGCAGCCTCTTTCTGCTTCCATTGCCTTATTACTCTTTTGCTGTGTGTGTATGTGTGTGTGTGTTGGTTCGTTTGTTTTACTTATTTACTTACCTTCTACATTGCTGGTGTTCGTGGGTTGTGGGTTACTGTTGTTGTTGGTTGTAATTTCTATCTTTTTCAGTCTGCTTGTTTTCCAATTTTTTCTGAGAACATGGAAAATGAAATTTAAAAATGTTGGTAATTCCAATTCATACAACATGTTATTGCTTACAAGTGGTTTAGAGGTTACTAGTGGATGGTATTTGCTCAAGTCACAATTAGGTCATATATGAAATTTCATCGTAATGAGAATCTAAATATGTAAAATAATCTAATAGTTAAAAACAAACATCCGAAATAATTTTTTTGTGAAATTAAAGGAATAATTCCTTCCTTAATTAATTTTTCTTAAGTGGCTTTTTCCTTTAAAATCATTCTTAAAAGCTGACTATATTCATTTAAAAAAAAAAATCTTATTTAAAAAGTTTGACAGTAATACATCAAATTTTTCTAGCTTCATTAACCTTTTATAACTTGTTATCAAATTCCAATTACAAAGCTATTAAACATTGATATTTCAAGCCAGATTTATTAAAATACTATTTATTGGACCAACATTATCTTGATTTTATTAATTTTGGAGCTACAATGTTTTGTATGGTGCAATATGGATGCATTTGTCAAATTTTAAAAATTGTGTAAAAAACATTTATGCAATATAAACAAAACTAAGATTATTCAGGTCTTATAAGAAAAACAATTCTTATTAAACTTACTTGATTTATAAATTTTGAGTAAAAATGTTAACTTTTTTTTCAAATGGTGTAAATCAACTGTTTTATTTTTATTTAAAAATTTGTGTTATTTCATATTTGAAAACCTGTAATTTTGTGGCAGTAGTTAAGACATCCAAGAGCAAATAGTTAAAAAAAATAACATTCAAATACTTACTATGAAATTTACACCTTTTAGGAAAAAATTTTAAAAATTGATTTTGTGAACAATGTTTATGTTTGTATTGTGGAAAATTTAAGTATACTATTTAGCATTGTTTTAAAAAAAATCAAACTACAGAACAAAAAAATAATTGTAAAGAAAAAAAGACATTTTAAAATAAGTCTACTTAATTTTTTAAATATGATATATATATATATATATATATATATATATGTATAATTTTAATTTTTTATATTATTTTAATTTTAATTTTAATTATTTTAATATTACATAATATCTTTAATATAAAAAATTAAATATATACATGTAAAATCAATAAATAACTAATATTTATCATTTAAGATTGAAATTTATAAAATTATATCAATAGTAATAATTTAAAATTATATTAGTTTTTATTTAGTGTTACATTTTTTGATTTATTTTTAAAAACAATAATATATAATTATAATTTATATGTATAAAATTCAAATTTTAAATTTTTTATAATAATATTTTTATAAGTCTAATAAAATAGAAATTAAAATACCACCTATATAATACATATTTCTTATTCAAGTGAACTTTCTAAAACATTCCTAAAGCAATATAGGGACTTTAAAGATGTATTAAAACATAGAAATATTCATTTTATACATTTTTCTGAAAAATGCATAATTAGTCTTTAAAATAATCTTAATTTTTATTTATAAAAATTTTCAACTTATTATATAAAATGGTTTTATTTAGACAATATATTGGTATTTTCTTTTAAATAATTTATTCAAAACCAAAATTCCACATAGTTACAGGAATTGATGTAGTATTAAAAAACATGTCTTTAAAAATATATATACTTTATTTTTATTAAAAATTATTAGTGTATATTACAAAAAAAATGTTAAAAATTTTTATCTAAAAAGTCATACAATATGATAAGTTTTTATTTATTAAACTATATATTCCAAATTTGATATCAAAGTTTTAAATTTAATATGTTATTCTTTTTAGTCTACAAGTCTTTCAAGATATTTTATACAATCTGTAAATTACCTTATTATATAATTTTTGAGATGATTATTTTTTTTTATTTAGAGTTTTTTTCTATCTAACCTATAAACGTTTAAAAACATAAATAATAAACTTTTTATTATATTATAAATTTCAAAAATATAATAATATATTCTAAAATTTAAAATTAATTATTTTATAAAATAAAAATAGATTTTTTATAATATATTATTTAAAATAATTTTTTAAAAATAGATTCTTTCTTCCATATTTTCCACATATTTTGGTGGTTTAATTGCTATAATATTGGCTTAGATGAATATAGTCTTGTAGCAACATCATCTGTGACTATGTGTATGTTGTTTTTCTAGCTAAGTGGAGGGGCTCTTAATCAGCTAGGAAATGAGGCTCTTAAATTTATGTTGATTATGCATTTGTATTTGGTTTAATTTGCATAATTTGTGATTAATTTATGGCACTCAATGTGTTGTAAGTAATAGTCTACTTTTATTTGACTATTGTCACATGATGTGGCATTGGGTGCTAAATCTTATCAAATATATGTCATTTGGTTTGGTATAGTAGTTTTCCATCTATTTAGCTTTTCTATTAGTTGATTTTATTAGTCTCAATTGGGATTTGAAGACTTAAATTAAGAAACTCCTTTAACTTGATATTCTTGTCAAGTCAAATCTTCTGAGTGATTTTAGAGAGTAAAAACTTGTATTATAAAGGTTAATTGGACTATGATATTTTAGCCGTTTATTAAAGCTTTAGAATTTTTTTAACATACAATTATACTCTTGGATTTTCCTTTTATGATCTGAAAGATGACTTGATTATATGTAGATTCATTATCTTTTTTTAAGAATGTGTTGGTTGTGCATTTGTATTTGGTTTAAATTACATACTTTATAATTAATTTATAGTACTTAATGTGTTGTATGCAATAATCTTTGTTTATACACCAAGTTACTTTTGTGAAATACAATTCTTTTCAAAAAAGTTTCAAAGACCACAATGCATACTTATAAATAGAATTTATAATTAAGATTCTATATTAATTTTTTGAACAAGGTTATTATCTATTTATTTTATATTTTATTATTTTAGATTATTTATTCTATAAATAGTAAAAGTATCCATAATAATATTTTTCTTCTAATAACTAATTTTGACTTTTGTGTTTTAATTTTTTTCATAAGTTAATACAATCAAAATCTTTTGAATTGAATTTGCTACCAGCTTTAACATATGTTTTAAAAAAAATGATTGTTAGATCTTTGGAACAATTATTTATGATTATATTTTGGAAAGAAAACTATCTATTTATCTGATCATTATTTAGAATTTTATAACTAATTTTGTATAATGTTATTTCAAATAATGTTTACTTTCAACAATATTATTAAGAATTATACTTTAAAAAATTATTATAATAGTAAATATGATAATTTAGCTATTATTTATTTAAATTAAAAAAAATTATTTTTTTGATTTAGATGTTATGAGATTTTTTAGATTTAATCAAATTTTATTTTATAAATTTATAAATTAATAATAAATAAAATATATTTATAAAAATAATAATAAATATATTTGGTTTTTTAATATATATAAAGAAAATTTAAGAATTTTTTTAAAGTCGTAATTAGATTAAAAATATTTTTGAAATGTTAATTTTATTATATGAATAAATTTTAATTATAAAATATTTATTTTAAATCTAATAAATAAATTTAGATAAAAACTTATTTAAGAAATAATAATTAGATTTTATAACATGTACTTATTTTTAATAATATTTTATTTATTAAAAAATTCTAATGGATCTATTTCTATAGAAAAATTTGATACTATAAAATTAAAATTATGATAAGTGTCATATCAAAATTTTAAAATATTTTATTTGAATTTTTATTCTAATGAATTTATTTTTAAAATTTATATATAAATGAAAATTTAAATATTAAATATTAAATATTTGATAGTCTTTTGTATAAAAGAAGGAATCTTCAATCTTTATGAATAGATGAGGCATGCCTAGAAGACTTTTTCTAACAATGACAAATATACTCTTGTGTTAGAAAAATCAAAATAAGTGGAGTCAAGTATGCCATATGCCTCCATATTGGCATTGTTCACATAATAACATGATAGCAATCCCTCCATTCTTTCTACATAGAAAACAAGGAAGACCATTTGGTATAACTACTAGTTTTGGATGTACAAAATCATTAATAAGAAGATAAGAAGGAGTATAATTCTTTGAATGTTCTCAATACTCTTGTCCATCGTTGCCTATATGTAATAAAATACTATTTGGTAATACATCCTTGATACAAATAATTGTGGATCTTGTTTTAGTATTAAGTATTATAAATACATCATATTGCAAAGGCTCCTAATGTCCTTTTAAACATCTTTTCAAGTGAGATTAATTAGATTTGCTACAAATTCAAGCAAATCATATGATATTACAATGTTTAAAAATAAATATTTTTTTTATAGCCAAAAGAATAGCTTTTTTAAAGAACTTTGCTTAATCATATAGATATTGAGCTTAAATATTAAGATCATCTAAGTCCACAATTAGAGCTAATTTTTCATATGTTAAGCTTAGTAGGATTGGCATCAAAGACATGAATCTTAAAAAACTAAAAGATCAATATACTCTTATGTCACTTGAAAAGACTAGAGAATCATTCAAAGATAGTATAATATTGAATTAGAATGGCTACTATCAAAGATAAGAAGACTAG